CAAAGGGAAGTCTCCTAAGTTTTCTTCTTCATGGGAAGGCCCATATGACATAGTGGATCGTCTCTCAGACGTGACTTTCCGGATAAAATCTGGTCAACGAGGTAAGCCAAAGGTGGTGCATGCCAACAGGCTTTGGCGTTATCACGGTCCAGGACATTTCTGTTGGGATGAAGTGAACAATGGAACAAATGACGCTGCTGAAGACGTGTCACCTGAAAAAGCCACTGTCGAAGAAGAAACTCTATTCGGTTTTGAGAAAGTGAAACAGCGAAGCCCTTGATGAAGTCACTATTACTGATGTGACTGTTACCAATGATAGGACGTTTCCTGATGGAGCAGATGAACCCCACATGACGCAGAAGCCAACGAGACAGAGACCAGTGCGGAAAAAGATACGTCCCGAAAAATTAAAAGACTTTGTTGAATTTTAATTTTGTGTTTGTAAATTCTGTACATTTAATTAAGTTATTGTTAATTGTTTATTAGTTTAATGTAAGTGGCTATTGTTCGGGACGAACAATACTAAGGAAGGGGCAGTGTTACGACAGTAGGGGGGTCATGTGACGAGTATTCTAGAAGATTCGCTAGTGCGTTAGGACAGCGGGGTCACGTGACAAGTATTCTAGAAGATTCGCTAGTGTGTTGTAACAGCATTGCGTCAACTGACGCTGGTAGCACATGTTGAGAGTCTTAGAGGTTTCTAGAACAGGCACTATTATCGTATATAAGTGCGCTAGACAGTGAGAGAGAGGGACGGAGTCGAAACAATAGTGGAGACAAAGACAGAGACGTAGCGGAGACGAAGAGAAAGGAAGACAGCAGTTACGGTCGGTGGGAACCGAGGATAGCAGACACAGACATCGGAACTATAGTTTGCGGGGACGGACAATTAAGTCTAAGCGTGGTAGAAAGTGAGTGAATTGTTGTGAACTATAGTGTGTGTAACTGTGAAAATTAAGTACATTACAAAGTTGTATGGAGGAAGAATAAACGAGTTTTATAAAGAAAGAACTTGTAGCTTGTAAGAATTAACAAGTAAACATACAGAGACGTAACAGTATTTAAAGAAATCCTTACTCTTAATTTTTATCTTTTCAGCCAACCTTTTCTCATACATCCTTTCTGATTTCCTAATTTTCTGTTTCACCAACTTTCTTGATCTTCTATAGTCTCCTAAATCTCCTGTCATACCAGTCAATTTAAATCTACTAAATTGATGATGCTTTTCTTAAATTTTTATCTCTTATATTCTTTGTGAGCTGGTTTTTTACTTGCAGCTACACATTACTTTTTCTAACTCTTTC